GCACGGCCAGCCCCGGGGCCACCGCCTCCGCCCCGCCCCGGCCCGTGTCCCGCCCCGCCCGGGGCCGTCTCCAGGACTGTGTTGGGAACACAGACCCCAGTGCCCGCCCTCGGGGACAGGTGCGGACTCGGAGAACACAGCCGCTGCTGGGAGCCGAGGTTCAAGCCAGCCGGGGCCCACTGGCTCCACGACCTTGGGTCCAGGCTTCCTTGGTCTGCGGCCCAAGTTGGGGGCTATAATGAAAGCGGGGAGCGCGCTTGGTAAACTGCTGAGTGCTCAGGGGTTATAAGCCCCCTTTAGGGCTTATGGATCTGGCTGGAAATGGACAAGGTGTGAAGGACTGCCGGCCGAGATGGGGGCCTGGCTGTCCCCACCGAGTGGCAGGGAGGGGCTGAGCGTCTCCGCAGCCCTGTTTTCCTCCTGTCCCGCCCCCACCCCTCTGGTTGGACCGGCTGTTCGGATGACATAGGGGATAGCCAGGGAGGGGGCCGGGCGGTGAGGTCAGCAACAGGCAGGCCGGGGTCTCCTCCGCGGTCCCCGCGGCGTGAGCAGAAGGCAGGCCGCGGCAGCCGCAGGGTCAAGCAGGGAGGGAAAGGTGGGTGCCAAGCCCGGCTGCCAAGTCCCCCCCCCCCCCAGAGACCCGAGCGGGAGCTGGCTCCGCAGCACCACCTGGCGGCCGCAGGGAGGCTGGAGCCAGAAGGTGACCTCGGGCCCAAAGTTGCACATCACACACGGCGGTTGGTTGCAGCTGTTTATTTCCTGCGTGTTCTAGAGCCAGTGACCTGCCTCGGTCCAGCAGCAGCGAGGGAGGAGGGGGCAGGTCTGCCTGCTCACATGCCCAGTCCTAATGGAGGCGACTTCCCTGCTAGGAGTTAAACCCACCTGGGCAAGGAAGGGTACCTCACAAGCAAAGAGCTCAAAGCCTGCTGGGGAAGGGATGCAGCCGAGCCCGGTGCCAGGCGGGCAGTTGGCAAGACTGTGGGTGCAGAGCCCGCTGGGCTGCACAGCCCCCACCCGCGTGGCTCAGCGCCCCTTCCCTGTGGGGCTAGAGCTGGGCTCAGCGTCCCAGGAGCTGTAGCATCTCCTGAGGGTCCACCAGCTTCTCCCGGGGCTTCCCAATGCACTGGCCCCGGGACACCTCCTCCGCATCCAGCTTCTCCCAGTCCGAGAAGGAGACAGGCTGGACCCCTGAGACAGAGATGAGAAGCCATTGCTACCCTTGCTTTCTCCTTCCCCTCCCCAACCCAGAGCACCCTTCCAAAAGGTGAAGAGACCCAGGACGTATCAGCGATCACCCCCTTCCCACTCCCCAGGACCTCAGCCTTGGGGCCTGGACCTCGGCTGCTGAGCAGAGCCTGGATGGCCGTGTAGCCAGGCCTGGGACCCGAGGGCAGCACCCCGTTCTGGAGATCCTGCAGCAGCGCCCGGCCGGTGAGGAAGCTGTCATTCATGGTCGTGCCGATGACGCCTGAGGGCCCCCGCTTCACCCAGCCGCTGCAGTAGAGGCCTGAGAGTGGGTGACATCAGGGTGTGGAAAGGGGAGGTGGCTGGACACCCAGCTACAAGACTGCATCCTCAGTACACACACACCCCCAAAGAAAAACGCACTCCCGTGGGGTCAGTCCTGACACACAGTGACCCTCTGTCGGGTTTCTGAGGCCGTCAAGTCTTACAGGAGACTGTCCACCTTTCTGAGGAGCAACTGGTGGAATCAAACTCATGACTTTTCAGTTACAAAGCCAGAGCTCCTGGACATACACACACTTTCGAGATCGTCTAACTAGCTGCTGTCAGCTGGGCCCACTGGAGCTGCGGGTCCACCATCCATGAGCCTTCAGTGTTTCTAACACACCACCCCTTCCCGTCTCTTATAGGAACCTGCTGGCTCAGCTGTCAACGCATTCAGCTGCTGACCTGAAGTGTTAGCTGGTTGTCAGTTCAAATCCCAGCCACTCTACACAAAGACGTAGCAATCTGTCCTGTCTTACAGGGTCACGGTGAGTCTGAATAGACTCAGTGGCAGTTGAGCTTTCTGGCTTGGTGCCTTCTTACGCTGGCCTTCCTGGAAACTGAGCCCCTAAGAACAGGAACACACCTGTCCCCCCTTGTGCCTCCATCTTCCTGGAGGCTGGGTCCTGACCCAGGTGGTGACCTGCCCTGTGGTGACGGCCCCTCTGTCAACGTCTGCTGAGTGAAGCAGTGTCCAGACAGGTGCACAGGCCATTTCATCAGAAGGGTTATCAAGCTCTGCCTCCCAGCACTGAATACAGGTGCCAGTCAGGAGCAGGCCTCAGTAAATGTGTGCTGAATGACTTAATGACCAGACATATGGGGACATCTCAGTTAGCCTAGGAGCTGGGAAGAGGGCAGGCAGAGGCCCTCACCTGAAGAATGAATGAATGAGCAGGCCCAGGAGACACCTGCCTCTGCTCCCTCACACCAATCTCACCTGGCACTTCCATAACCCGGCCCTCCACATTGGGGATGACCCCGAGTTTGGGGTCAAAGGGCACGCTGGGGTCGATGAGGCGGCTCTTATACCCCACGCTGCTCAGCACCAGCCCACAAGGCAGGTCCTCCACTTCGCCCGTGGGCACTGCCCGGGTGGCCTCGCCGACACCCTATCAGGGAAAGCAGGGGCAGTGCAAGGCGGAGAGGGGAGGTCTGATAAGGGGGTACCTTTGGCTACAGAGACTCACCTCCAGCCTGGTGACTGCCAGGCGGATGCCTGCTGTCCGTTGCCCATCCGATGAAGGCAGCACCTGCTGGGGGCTTCGGAGAAAGCGGAGGCCCCAGGCACGAGGGGCTGACGCCAGGCGGGCAGCGTCTGACTGGCCTGGCTTCTCCGTGGCCGCTCGAAGAAGAAGCTCTGTCAGCCGCCTCCTTGGGCGAGGCGCCTCTATCAGCAAGGAAGAACGTGTCCTGGCTGGCCTAGGGTCCTGGCCCCTCTCTGCCCTAGACTACCCTCTCTTGTGGACTGGGGTCCAGGCCCCTCACCCTTGATTATATCCTGGAGGTCCAAGAAATCCGCAGGGTCCAACACGGGCCGCGTTCCTGGTAACTGAATCATCTCCCGAAGCTCCTTGGGAGGTGGGGAGGGGGTGTGGATGGAGATCAGGCCCAGAGCAGGGTTCATCCAGTGTACCCCGAGTCCAGATACGGGGCACGGCTCACCTGCACCCCACGGGAGGCACTGGGCCCCAGGAGCTCTGCCTGGCTCCCCATGTCCCACCCAGGCCACAGCCACTCTCAAGGTGTCTGCTCTGCCACTCAAGGGAGACCCTCTATTTGCAATCCTGGCTCCGCCCCGTCCAGCCCCAGTACCTTAATGGTGAAGGCCACTTGCAGCGGCCCACGCCGGCCCACTATCCACACCATCTTCACCCGACTCTGCCTCAGCACTGCCAGGGAGGCCGCCGTGATGTCTGTTTTCTGGCACAAAAGGAGGGTCTTGAAGTCACCAGCTGCCCCAACACAACAGACAGCGTCTGGTCAAGCCCTGAGACCCTGGTGCCCAGACGCTGCCCCACTGCCTCCCCCTGGTGGTCAGATGGAACATTACTTCCAATTCTTCAAAGGCACCAAAACAAGCCAACCCAAAGCCTGAAGCTGATCCCCGGCCTCAAATCCAGTCCCGGGGCCATGAAGCTGATGCAGGGCCCCCAAAGCCTGAAGCTGACCTTGGGGCCCTGAAGCCGATCCCTAGGCCCCAAAGCCTACCCTGGGGCCCCAAAGCCTGAAAATGATCCTAGGGTCCCCAAGCTGATGCCAGGGCTCCAAAGCCAAACCCGAGGTCCTGAAGCTGATCCCAGGGAACTGAAGCCAACCCCAGGGCCCCGAAGCTAACGCTGGGGCCCCAAAGCCGACCCCAGGGCCCTGAAGTCGATCCCAAGCCCACAGGACGGAGCAGAGTAGCTCATATTGTTTCTAAGTCCTGAGTCCTGGCACCGCAGTGGTTAATGGTTCAGCTGCTAGTGTGCAGGCTGCTGGTTTGAACCCCCCAGCTGTTCAACTGGAGAAACAGCTATCTGCCTCTTTAAACATTTACAGCCTAGGAGGCCATGTGGGCATTTCTACTCCATCCTACAGGGCTGCAGTGAGTCAGAATCAAATTGAGACAAGGGGATGTTAAACCTTTACGGGACTGGGCAGCCACACCTTTCTCCTGTGGGTTGGGTTAGAACCACTGACTTTATGGCTAGCAGTCAAGCCCTTAACCACCAAAGAGTCTTTTGCAAAAGGCTCCAGTGAGGCCCTAACCAGGCTCATAGTCTTTCAGCTAGTGTTTGCTAAGCTCCTCCCCCGTGAAGGACACAGCAATGGGGGCAGCGGAGGGAGACGGTGAGAGCAGACGAGGTGCCGGCCCGCACAGAGCTTCAGATCAACCACTCAGTCATCAACCACTCATCAGTGTGGGCAAATCTGACAAGGGCTCTGGCACAGAAGCAGACAGGTGTCTGTGACAGGCTGTTAAAGGCACATGGGCCCAGTCAGAGAGGTCCCAGAAGGCTTCCTGGAGGAAGGGACAGCTGAACCGAGAACTAGGAGAGGATCAAGGTGAACTGCCTGAGGTGAAAGGGTACTTGGAGCAGTGCTTCATATCAGAAGGTGGCATGTCCAAGGGCCCAGAGAAAATGAAAGGTGACAGCTGGAACACAGGAAGTGACGGGGAAATGTCTGAAATGATGCTCATGGCTGCCTCTCAGAGGTGGGCGCCTGGACACTGAGGGAAATAAAGGGAACAGAGCTAACCCAGCTTGCAGGGAAGGCCTGAGGCTTGTGGGCAGGGCACCCTCTCCTGGGTGGAACCCATCCCATCGCTCCCTGCCCCACCCACTCACCTCCAGTTGCTCGAGTGGGGTCAATAGGATCCGAGCCACGTCCAGGGCCACGTTCCCCTGCCCCAGAATCACAGCAGTGTCGCAGCTAAGGTCCGGCGCCAGCTGCAGGAGGGAGGTCTTGATAGGAGGGCCCTTAGCGTGGTTCCTCAGTTTCCACACTCAGAAAGCCTTTTTCACGAGAGCCTCAACTCGGGCTCCCCCATCTCCTGCCCACACCTCTTCCTAGAAGCCCTCCAGGACTGTTTGCTGCCTTGCTCACATTTCATCTTGCTGGGAGCTTCCGAGACCTGGTCAGTGGTTCCCCAGCTCTGGCATCCATGTTGGCCCTGGCCCTGGCTAAGGGTAGGGAGGAGGCATTGTTCACTGTTGAGGGCTTGCTGTACTCACCTCCCGGTTCTCAGGAAGCCCATTGTACCAGCCTACAAAGGCCCGAGCCGGAAGCACACCTGGCAGGTTCTCGCCCGGAATTCCCAGGGCCTGATGGTCCTCTGCGCCGTAGCTCTGGGGAAGGGGAAAGGGGCTGCCCTCAGCCCAAGCCCTCACCCGTACTGCCCTCATCTATTCCTCAGCCACCGCCCAGCGCCCGTCCCCCACCCCCAGCGCCTGCACTCACCAACACCACAGCATGGTAGGCCGCCCGCAGCTCAGGCACAGTCACGTCCCTGCCCACCACCACATTGCCCCAGAAGGCACAGCGGTCAGAGCGGGCTGTCTGGGTAAAGGTGTTGATGACATTCTGCCCCCAGCACCCGCGGAGAGAGAGTTAGAGGTGTGAGAGTTCCAGAGATCACACCTGTGCCACCCCTACCCACTGTCCCAAGGGCAGCCAGCCCCCGGGATCTACTGTCCATGCTGAGGGACGTACCTTCACCTCAGGGTGGTCAGGTGCCACACCAAAGCGTACCAGGCCGAAGGGCACCAGCTGCTTCTCATAGATGTCCACGCGTGCCCGGGGGTGGTGCTGCAGAGAGAAGACGACAGATGCTGGGGCCAAGGGAGAGGCTAGGCACCCCCAAAGGCCTCCCCTTCCTTGGGCAGAGGTGGACAGCACAGGACACAGACAGGCTTCTATCCTCTGCAGGAAGAAAAGAGAGCTCTCTGATTCCCCAACTCCCAGAGGGGCAGACAAGAAGAATGGGGCTACACTAACAGCAAGAGAACCAAGGTCAGACCTCAGAAAGGACTGCCAGCCCATCAGGACTGGGGATGTGTAAGGCAAAGCCACCACCTCCCCTACTGAAGTCTTCAGAGGAGCTCCTCCCCTGTGTCAGGCATGACAGAGCATTAACCGAAAACTCCAGGTGCTTCTAGAAACACCCGCCAGTGAGATGACTGGGAACACCTGGAAGTTCATACCCGCCTCAGCTCTAGTCTCACTGCCTAGAGGAAAGGGGACCAGCAGGGCAGGGCGTGGGGCACAGGAAGGCCACGCGGTGGCCCTGCTCCCACCCCGGCTTGGAAAAGCCACCTCCCTGGTCCCACCAATCACTAGTTCTGGTCCATGCGCAGTGCCCTGAGGGGACAGGGTCACTGTCAGGAGGGAAATTTGGGTCCGGCTCAGCCACCCACCGGCTGTGTGATCCTGGCCAGTCCCAGGGTCTCCCCTTGAGCTCCCCCTGCAAACTAGGACGGAAAGGACTCCCTCTCGGGGCTGCTGGGGAGCACCTGCAGGTCGTGAGCGGGACAAGCATGCTTACGGCAGAGCAGGTGAAAATCCCGTGATGATGGGGCGATGACCAGTGCCGCTGCTGGGCGCTGTCAGCACGGTCAGTCATGTGATTCTGACTCAAGGCCCTAAACATGCTGTTGTTGGGGATCATGGAGACGGAGCTGACTCCCAGCTGACCGTCCAGCGCGTTTTCAGGGAGGAGACTGCGATCTTCCTCGGAGCAGCCGGTGGATTCAAGCCACCTGACCACTTGCCTTTGGGGCTGGCTGGCAGGTAAGGGGTAACTCCTTACCACGAAACCACCAGAGCTACCTAACCCCAAACAGCGAGGTGGAATTGTCTGACAGGGTTTCTCAGGCTCACTGAGAGCACAGGCAAAAAGCAAGCCTCCAGGAATGAACGGAATTCCCACTGAGACAGTCCAACAAGTGAATGCACAGGGCCTCACTTGCAGAAGATAAAGAAGATTTGAAGCACTCACTCACTAGTAACAATCAAAGGCTACAGCCTTCGGTATCAGTCATTAAAAAACAAAAACATCCTCACAACGAGACCAATACGCACCACCATGATAAATGCAGCCAAGACTGACGTTTCATTTGACGTGGACCCAGAACCAAGGCCCGTGCAAGAAGCTGTCAAAAGCCAAAGGGCCCACTGCATCCGGGAAAGCTGCAGCAAACACTCCTTAAAATTGTTTCATTTGACGTGGACCCAGAACCAAGCAGCTGTCAAAAGCCAAAGGGCCCACTGCATCCGGCAAAACTGCAGCAAACACTCCTTAAAATTGTTTAAAAAGCAAAGAAGTCCCTTCAGGGGCGGCGAGGCAGCTGCCTCAAGCCTGGTACTTTCAAATGCCTCCTAGCCATGCAGCAGCTAAACCATGAAGAAAGACGACGGAAGACTGACACATCGGAGCGACGGTGTTGGAGAAGAATACTGAACAGACGGTCAGAACCCCAAGCTATCACTCTCCAAAGTACAGCCAGGCGCTCCTCAGAAGCAGAGATGGAGAGGCTTCATCCCACAAGCCGCGGACTGGCCTTCAGGAGGGACCAGGAGGGAGCCCTCACGCCTGCTAATGCAGGTCAGCAATAAGAGAGGACACGGCCAACGGGATGGACTGTCACGCTGCGGCAACAGAGGACTCAGAGCAACAACTGTGAGGAGACACAGGAGCTGCTGAACACGGGGTCCCTTTGCCCCAAATTCACTGTGGAATGATATCATGGAGCAGGGATGATCTCTCATGAGCTAATAAACCGAACAGCTGTGAAAGGTCCTGCGGGGTGGCTGAGAACATCCTTCCTCTCTTCTGCTCAGACTCTCCCCCCGTCCCAGACCTTAGGCTGCTGAACACCTCGCAGCACCAAAACCCTCAAACCCAGTCAGGGGAACGCTGACTCCCACCCCACTTCAATTCTGCTGCTCTGGGTTCTCTTCCACCCAGTCTCCACCAAGACCCCAAATCAGAACCTGGGGCTCCTTTTGACTCCACTTGACCTGGTCCAGTCAATTCCTTCTCTGCCACCGCCAGCCCAGCCGTCACCCTGTCACTGTCTCATCGCCGCTGTCATGGAGGTTTTGACTCTCAGCGATGCCCCATTGGGCTTCAAAAACTATAACTCACCACAGGAGGGGACCGTCCACCTACCTCTCTTAGAGCCTCTGATGGGTTCCAGCTGCCGAGAACTTACCAGGAGACACCACATGACACGCCATAAGTGAATGTCCTAGCTAGATGCTCTCACGGGAGGGCTCTGTTGTCAGAGTGCCTGTGCTCAGACCCCAGCACCCTCCCTGCTCAGTGGGGGAACCATGGATGACTTCACTCAGCCTCAGTGTTCACACTGTAAAGTGGGAGTCCCGCTCTGCCTCACAGGTTGTTGTGAGGCAGTGGGAGACTGTAGGGACCATGGCTGACTGGCAATAAGCACCACCACCCTCAGCCTACCACGCACATTCCTGGCCTGGAAGCCAGACAGTACCTTGGGCGGTTTAACGACAAGGACCAGGCTCTGCGGCCATTCCCAAGGACGCTTCTGGAGGAAAGCATGTGCACGTGTCTCTAGCCGGGTGGAGGCTGCTGGTTTCTTGCTCACGTTGGGCCACTGAGAATGCTGCTCTCGAGCCCTCCCTCCCCCTCCATGCACGTCAGCTAGTGGCACCCCTTCCATGAAGCCCTCCTGGGGTGCACGTGGTCAGCCTGCTGATCAGGTCCAGGGGCCCAGGCTTCCCTCCCACATGGCAGCATGCCCAAGGCCTGGCATGTCCACGATAACTCCCCATGCTGAGAGGACCGCGCAGGCCTTCAGTGCAGCAGGAACTTCTCCACAAGGCAGTGTGTGACTGGTCCTGCCCGATCTGGTTCACTCCGCTCACATTACAGTATCTACCTCTCTCACTTGTTGCTTTAAAAGCCCTGGGGTGGGGGGCAATAGTTAAGTGCTCAGCTGCTAACCAAAAGGCTGGCAGTTCGAGCCCACCCAGCAGCTCTACAAAGTCCTATAGGGCAGTTTTATTCTGTCTTATGGGGTCACTGTGAGTTGACATGGACTCAGTGGTGCCCACCATATGTATCTAGAGTGTGCTCAGGTCACTTTTCAGCACAGGGACCCCTCATCCTGGTCTCCCAGGACTCTCCTGCTTTAACCCAGAATGTCCTGCGTCCTGGGGAGCCCCAGAATCCTGGATAAACCCCGAGGGTTGTTCACCCTTCCTTTCACTTCTTTGTGTACAATAATACAATCACCCCTTCTTCTGTCTCTCCTCTGACACCCTAGCCCCTCCTTAACAGGGCTTCTCTCCTCTCCCCCTCTAACCTTGAGCTCCAATGCAGAGTCTCAAGGGCAGGCTGAGGGCCCACCAAGGCCAGTACTGCAATCCTGGGCCTCTGGCCTTCACACTGTAGTGGTAAGGGGGCAGGGAAGAGAGCAGGGTGAAAGCAAACAATTGCCCTGGGAAGACGTGGTAGCCAGAGGGGCAGGATGCTGGGGACAGTGAAAGACAGGATAAGGAAGGGAAGATAGGGGCAGGATTGCCACCTTGCAAGAGTGTCCTGTAGCCTCTGCCCAAGGAACCAATCATCCACTGATCACTGACCACTGACCCTCATGAGACAAGCACACTCTCCCTCAGCCCAGGGCACAGAGCAGAATACCAGATGTGATATGGGTGAGGATGCAGGTAGGACTGGTCCAGCCTAGAGGGGCTGAGAGCCCCTTCCCCACCTATCACCTGAGGACTGAGAAGCAGGTGAGCTATTAAGGGGTGGGGGAGATACACGGAGAGGAAGCAGTTTACCTTCAGCACGTGTTGGGCTGTGTAGAAACCAGCAGGTCCACTACCCACCACGCAGATCTGCGGGGTCTGCTCTTCCGTGGAGAACTGGCGCAGAAAGTCTAGAAAGGAGGCAAAGGTCGGGCTAACAATCACTGTCCAACCCCAACCAATCCAGGCCCATCAGATGTTGCAAACTTCCCAAGCTTCACCCTCACCTGCACCTTCCTCCTGTCCCTCCAGGAAGGGTCCCTTACTGTACCTCTGCCCCAATAGCTGTGTCTCCATCCAGGGCCCCACACCTCACTACAAATTCACTGTGCTGCTGACCATGGCCTATGGGACAGCCCCCACGCTCCTGAAGCAGCCCTACACTGCTTTTCTTATGGGGTTCCCAATCTGCTCCACCTGGTGGCACAGTGGTTGAATGAACCAGCTACTAAATAAAAGGTCTGGGGTTTGAATTCACCAGCTGCTCCATGGAAGAAAGATGTGGCTGTAGGCTTCTGTCAGACTACAGTCAGCAAGCCCCCCGGCGCAGTTCCAGACTGTCCTACAGAATCACTAGAGGGTCAGCACCTATTCAACTAGAATCCCACATTTGTCCAATGGGCTCCAAGTCACCCCAAGTTCACCCTGTGGATCTCTGCACATTGCTCCGTCTTACTGCTCCTACCTCCTCTCCCCAAAGAGCCCTAACGTGCCCATACAGACTCTACCTCATTCCCCCTAACTCTTCCCAGACTTCCCTCCAGTCCGTGTCACTCCATGGACTTGCGTCTCCCACCTGGGGACCTCACAGTCCCCTTCTCAATCAGAGGCCTCACATCTCGCTGCAGATGCCCATCCACACCCCTGCACACCTCCCTCGTGTCGACCTCGGGAGAACACCCCTCTAAGTCTTGCCCTGGGTCCCCCCCCTCCAGTCTTGCCTCTGCTCTGCTTCGACCCCTGAACTTAGTGTTCACAGGTCTCCCCGCGCTCCCATCCCCCCTAGAGGAGCCCTGGTCCTACTCAGGGGACTCCGAGCGAGAGGCGGTCGGGTCCGGAGCCACAGCGTCCAGTGCCACCAGCAGCGAGGAGCCATGGCAGCGGGTAGCACCTCGCAAGAGGATCTGCTCCCGGAGACCGCCCCGCTCTCGGACCAGCCCAGGTCACGCCCCCTGTCACGCCCCTTCCAGCGGGTGGCCACGCCCACCGCCCAGGCCCGCCCCCAGGCCCCACCTCCCGGGAGCTGGGAAAGCTCAGCGTTTCGGTTCCACCCCACCCTCTGAGTGAACCCCGCCCCCAAAAGAGAGACCCACCACCACCACCACCCCCAGATCCACCTCAAGCCCCGCCTCTCAAGGCTTGCGGACCATCATTGACTTAATTAATTACGTTTTCCCCCGCCAATCGCTCTTACCGGGAGGAGAGCGAATCCCCACTGCTGTTTCAATCTCCCCTACGAAAAGAACCAATTAGAGCGTGTCTTACTTTACTTAGCCTCGCCCCTCTGGAAGCGCTCGTCGCAGGCTGATGACTCAAGCACCCGCCTCTTTTGAAAGCGAATCCTGGGGCAGAGCCGAGTTTTGTCTCGGCCAATCAGAAGTTCTGTTTTGGTAATACCCACGGAGTCCGGAAGTCTGTCTGGGGGCGGGGCGGGGAATCCTCGCGCGATTCCTGGGATTCACCTGGTTCGAGCAATGGAGACTTTTAACTTTTGAAGATAACCTTTCTCGCCACACCCCACACCACATATGTGCGGAAACAGGCCAGGGATGGACTTGTCCTCCGTACTGAGGACAGGACAGAACCAGACCCCTCGGTCCTGGTTAGCCGAACCAGAGAGACTGGACACACTCGCCTGGGGCTTGAAACCTAAGAGGAAAGACAAATTCAGTCATCCAGATAAATAATATTTTTAAGATGAAATTTTTTCAAAAAGTCTACGTTGAACAAAATATAAAAATTTTAAGGAAGGATAGATTTCCTGATTACGCCTCAACCCCATAACCATAATGCTTTCTCCCCTCCTGTCAAACTGTTTCCTTAAAGTCACCTAGGGTCCTTCACCTCCCAAGCTGGACTAGGACCTGAAGCACCCCGTCTCGGTGTAATTAATTATTGCACCGCCTTACAGCCTTTTTTTACAACCTTTGTTAATAATTTTTATGGTTTTTTATTATTAATTTTAATGAAAATTTACAAAGATTTTTGGATTTCCATTCATTCATTGTTGCACTTTTCTCCCAGCCCATCCCTCCCCCTAGTACACGCTTCTCTTTGAAAAGTAAAAGAAAAATTATTTCATTGCTAATAATCATTTTTATTGAAATGTAAAATTACAGAAAAATGTATATATCCCAAGTGTACAGTTTAATGAATTATCACAAGATGTTGCCAACCATCCAACTCAAGAAATAGAACGTGGTCAGCATCGCAGGTCCCCTTGCTCCCCAGGCCATTTATTCTCCTTCCAACTGAGAAGTAGTGTAATTTCTAACAAGTTGTGTGTTTTATGCCTTTACCACTAGACAAACTACAGCTTACATCTCAAAGCCCACTGGTTTTGTACAGTCTGGAGCTAAGAATGGTTTTAAGAATGTTAGTGGCTAAAAAAACATATTTTCTAATACAAGAAATATTTCTAGATAGATTTAAGCATCTACCAAAGTTGTTTTTTGTTCTTGTTTTTATTGGTTTGCTTACAAAGTTCATAGTTCGTATACATTGTGTTTTACACTATTGTTTATTCACATTGTGTTTCATACATTCTCATGCATTACGTCTTATAAAATTATCACCATTGGACCTTGCCTGTCATTACCCTGTCTTTTTGCCCGAGTCCTTCCCATTTACTTCCTCACTCCCTTCACCCACCAAACTGTGTAACACTGAGGTTTCTCCCCTACTTTTCCTCAGACCTCCCTTCCTTGAGTTCCCATGCATGTTTTATGGGTTATCCTTCTATTTTAACAATAATGATCTTAAGCAGTATTTGTCATTATGAGACTGAGTTAGTTCACTCAGCATAATGCCTCTTCCAAGTTACCTAGTATTTTTTGAAATCATTGCTCCTGCGTGCTGCATAGTATTCCATTGTGTGAATGGACCATAATTTCTCAATCCATTCGGTTGTGGTTGGATATTTGGGCTGTTTCCATGTTCGTGCGATGGTGAATAACGCTGCTGTGTACGTTGGTGTGCAAATCCCCATTTATGTCTCAGTTCTGCTTTCCTTCTGATATTTTCCTAGTAATGAAATAGGTGGGTCATATGGAGTTTCTGTGTTCAACTTTTTGAGGAAACACCAAACTCTCTTCCAGAGACATTGCCATTTTACAAAGCATCTGTTAAGTTTTATTAGAACACTCACTTTCACTGCCACGAATTTGGTTCCAACTCATCATGACCCAGTTTCTAAAGATGTAAATCACAACTGAAGAAAACTGCACTGGAGTCGCTCGTGGGTTTGAACTGCTGGAGAGAGCCTTGCTCTTTTCTTCATATATTGGTGTGACTGCTTTCATACTGTGATGGCAGAGCTGAATAGTTGTGACAGAGGCCACATGATCCACAAATCCCCAAATATTTACTATGCGGCTCTTTACACAAAAGGTTTGTTATAGACTGTAAATTTCTTGAGCATGGAGATCCAATTTCATTAACTTTTTAATCCCCAGAGCTTCACACAGGGCTTAGCATGTCACACTCAAACTCACTGAGTCAGAACCAACTCAGAGCTGACACCTGAGTGGGTTTTGAGAGGTTATAAATTTCACACAAGGAGATTGCCCATCATTCTCCTTTCAAACTACCTGCCTTTGGTTTGGCAGTACTTCTCCTTACTCACTAGACTATCAGAGCACATAACAGTTGCTAAAAAAAGTCTTAAAGATCAAGTGCTCACAGGCGAGCTCTAATGGCCTAGTGGCAAGAAACTGCACTGCAATCCCAGAGGGGAGTGGTTCAAATCCACCAGACGCTCTACTGGAGAAGGAGGAACAATCTCCTCCTGTACCAGTCAGAGCCGATTTGACAGTACACTCGCTAATAATAATGATAAATAAACAATAATAAAAAGATCAAGTTATTATCCTTTCACATGGGAGGAAGCCAAGGAGATTCAGCATCAGACACCTCAGAAAACCCTTCAGAGCTCCCCATGTAGAAGCATTGTGTTGGGTGGTTAAGATGATGGGTTTTGGAAGCAGACAGTGAGTTGAAATCCTTCTCCCATCATTTTCTACCAATATAACTCAGAAAATGAATCTCTTCTAGACTTATTTTCACAATCTGTCATATGAGAGGAAAATATAGTACCAATTTATTATAAAGATGAAGTTTAACTTAAGGTAAATGTCTGCCTTCAGTGCTAAATAAACATCAGCCGTCCTCATTCTCTATGCCTCCCATAAACTCACTGCCGCTGAGTCAGACACAACTCACAGCTGACCTTCCAACGGGTTTTCTGAGATTGAAATCACATGGGAAGAGAATGACCAACTTTTTCCCAAGGAGTTACTGATAGACTCGAACTGGCAGGAAGATGTAACCTCTGGATTAACTACAAACTAGACCACCAGAGTTCCCGTGTTATTATGTTCCATTGAATCGACTGCAGCCCATAGCGGCCCCATGTGCACTAGGTCTGAACCCTGCCCTATACTGAACCAATCTTTTTGTTTCAGACACATCTACCCTGACTACCCTAGATACTGTGTCAATCCATCTAATCTGGGGTCTCCCCCTCCTGCGCTGTCCCTCCACCCTTTCAAGAATGGTGTCCTTCTCCAAGGACCGGTCTCTCCTGGAAAAATGCCCAAAGTATGTGAGACAGAGCTTTAAAATCCTTGCCTCCCAGGAGCAACCTGATTTCACCCTCTCCAGGACAGACCTGTTTGTTCTCCTAGCAGTCCATATCATGTTCAGTACTCTTCTCCAGCACCACCACTCAAAGCCATTGATTCTTCTGTCATTCTTAGTCATTGTCCAGCTCTCTGATGCATAGCAAGTAATTGCGAAGACCACGGCATGGATCCAACAGACCTTAGTCTCTAGACTGACTAAAATATGAGTTGTTTTAATAAAATATGAAACATGAGCTCCCATAGGCCTCGATAAATTAGATCTTAGCTCTTTCCAGGGTCCACCTCTATAAATTAGATCTTGGCTCTTCCCAGGGTCCTAAAAGAGCCTCAGGGAACTTTCATCTCCTCCCCTTACCTCTCAAACCCTGTAGGATCCCAGCCCCCATCTTCAGAGTAACAGAAAGTCAAAAACAATCAGGCCACTCGTTGCCAGGTCCCTGTGGTACAGCCAGCCACATCTGGTATCAGGGTCTCCAGCCGTTACCCCCTCTCCCCATCAGGCGAGATCGATCACAATGAGTCGTAGGTTATGCATTAGGATGGTTTTAATCATAGCCACGTCTGTGGAACCAAGGCCTTTCTTACAGTGTATTTTTCATATAGAGAAATCAGCAGTTTGATGAGTTCCTCTCCCAAAGGCTAAAGGCCGTTTCTGAGCTGCTAATTCATCTAGAAAGAGCAGCATGGACGAAAGCCGGGTGGGAGGCTGCCAGGCCCTCCTGCTCCAACAGGGCTGCTTGGATCCAGCTCCACTCCCGCAAGAAGCAGATGGCAGACTCGGAGGGGGCGTCTGGAGAGAGTTTAATGGGGGGACTTGTTACAGCAGTGAGCAGGGTCAGGGGAAACCTGTAGGATGGTGAAGCACCCTTGGGCTAGCAACAGCTGGAAGCCCTGACCATCCCAGGCCCTGGAACAAAAGGAGGGAACAGCTGTGGGATGAGTGAGAGCTGGGGTTGTGGGCAGGGAGAGGGGGTGAGGTTGGGGAGAGCAGAGTGTGAGTTCCCAGCAGAGCCCCTGAAAGCCATACTGGAGATTCGTTCTCTATCAGGGTCAGGCTAAGTCCTCTCTCCTCCTGCTTCACTTCTCTGCTCGTCACCAAGGGCTCCTGTTTGCTGAGTTTTAGCCTCTTGACCTTCATAATCAGCTCATCCCTTGACCCCACGCAAGGACTTGCTGAAAAACAATCCGATGTTCAGAACATGACTTGAATGTTTTAAACCAATGGTTCAAGACCAGGTGGAGGGTATGGTTTTGCCCACCACCCCAGGGGACATTGCCATGTCTGAAGGTTTTTGGAGTGACTATGACTTGAACTCCTGGCTATCTGGTGTGGAGAGGTCAGGGATGATGTTATACTGTGCACAGGACAGTTTCTAACAGAAAACGTCACCCAGCCCAGGATGTTAACATCACCGAGGCAGGAAAGCCTGTGTTCAGAGATGCTTGGCTTCCTGCCATTAGCCTCTTCCTCAGTTTCCAGCTGGACCCCCCTCCCACCCTCTGCATCTCTTCAGACCAGTCTGCCTGCCTGCTTGAGCCTGTCTGTCCTGCGTGGAATCTGGATAGCGCTTCCTAACGGCATCAGTAGTTCTGATCATCTTCCCACTACACCCCCAGGCTTATCGCCTTCTGCAGACCATCCCTTCCCAGCCAGACTAGCCCGTGACTTCAAGTCCTTTGCCTCCTTCTTCCTCCTCTCTCTTCTAAGGCCGCTTGTCCTCCAGACCCTGTCCCCATCACCGCCCTCCCAGACTCAACTACATTCCAGTCACTCCTCTCTCTTCAACGGATGGTTCTTCTAAACACAGTGGAATAAAACAGAGTTGTCTGGGTGTTTGTTCCAGAGCTAGTCAAGGTTATGCTCAAAGATATTTATGCTCTTTCCCCAGCTGTCACCTTCCGGCCCCTGGACGCTCTCCCCACAGAACCCCCACGCTCACGTCTCCCTGATGGCCTGGACCTTGAGAACAGCTGAGCTAGCATCTTGTCCTGCCTCCTCTGACGAGCTGGAAAGGTGAGCCAGAGAGGTATGTTCTCCCCGTGGCCCCTGGAGAGAGGGCTTCTTGGGGAACAGAGCCTCCACATGGGGATCCCAGGCCCTGGGGAGGGCCTAGCTAAGAGAGCTGCTGACCTCCTCATGGTGCCCCTCCCTTCTAACTGGCCCCCTCTCCTCGCACTGTCACCCTCCCCCAGCCCCCACAGCTCAGCCTTAATAGTCCACATGGATTCATCTCGTTAGCCCCCCGAGATGAAGTTGGCCGAGGTCCAAGCTGACCAGAATGCCCAGCTCCCTTCATTCCTTCCCCCAGGCACCCCTTGACACCCTGAAAGGTAAGCAGAGAAGGTGCCCCAGGCCCTGAGTGTGAGGCCTCCGCCTCACTGTCCACCCAATGCTTCCACAGTCCAGGTCCATCACCAGCAGTCGAGCCACCCCGTGGGGGAGGTCCCAGGACCCCCGGCCTCAGCCCCAGTATATCCAGCAGAAGCAGGACTGCCAGGGTCGAAGCAGGGCTGGGGGGGGCGTCAGGGTGACAGTGCTGGCCCCACCCTCACTGCATTCCCACAAGCTCTGTGATCGGAGGTGTCTGCACCATGAGCTCCTCATAGCAATTCAGAAAGAGCCGGAAGCGGGCCAGGTACGAGTCCTCGTTGTACGGCAGCTGCTTCTCTTGGAGGAACTGGGATACGACTGGTTTCACCTGATGGAGGATGAACAAGAGAGGCCGCTGAGCTGGGCTCGTGGGCTGCCTGGCCCTGTGGTTCAGGACCCGTGGTCCAGGCCCCGTGGTCCTGGCACCGTGGTCTGGGCTCTGTGGTCCGGGCTCTGTGATACTCTTAGGGAGCCCAGCCTCCCGTTTCCCCACAGGCAGCCTGTTCCACAGTGCATTCCAGCCCTCCTTGGCTACACGGGAGGACAAAAGCTAGGGTCTCTTTCTTCCAAACACCAGCTGTGTGCCAACTGCCCCAAACATTTCTTCAGGTCATTCTTACACTGTCATAGACAGTACTGCTCGCCCCATTGTAAAGATGAAGAAGCTGAGGCTCAGAGAAGGTAACTGGGGCAGAGCCACACTGCTGAGAAGTCGTGCAGAGCCACACTGCTGAGAAGTCGTGCAGAGCCACACTGCTGAGAAGTGCAGAGCCACACTGCTGAGA